TAATCAAGTGTTTCATTAGTTTCATAGCAAACACTTTGTCCTCATTTAGGATACAATTGGAGTAAAGACTCGACAAAATTGTTTGCGAAATATTCTCCACTAATTCGGGTCTCATTTTCTCCAAACATATCAAACATTTAGCCAACAATTCGGGACTCTTTCGGACGAAAGCAATCAATTCACTGATTTGTGGCTCATTTGAGCCCAACTTCTTGTAGGCGTCGACGAAATGAAGACATTCTAAGCGATTGAAAGCATTGCAACAATTCAGTAGATCCGCACTTCCGTGTGATATCAGTCTTTCGCTGTGAGACCGCTGTTCGCGCGATATATAACACGTGTTGAACACTCGCGACGACGCCGTCACCACCTGTTCAACAGACCAACACATCACTCAATCACATCCCAAATGCCATTTCATTACAGTTATCATAATTAGAGTTTTAATTACCTTTTCATTGAGTTTTTGTAAATTATTTCTTTCGTTTGAGACAAACGTGTATTCTTTGCGCAAGAGTTGAGACAATTCTAACAAATCAAACGATGGATCACTTCTGGAGTGACCTCTCGAGTCAGTCGACCATTTCTTGCCTTTCATTTTGGACGACATTATGGTGTGAATGGTGTGAATGGATCACCAAATCTGGTCACCAATACATGAAATAGTGATAAATCAAGTGATTATCGCAGACATCAGTCACTAGTGTTTGGATTGCATTTCAAACAATCATTAATTCATTCAATGATTATATGATTAATACGTAAACAAAACAAACGCTAAACCAATGAAATGAATGTGAAGTCCAAACCATCAGTCAATACAATGCAATACATTTGACCTCAAAATACTGTCTTACATAACCAGTCATACTGTATGTCCGCCCATAGCTATACACTGCCCACACGTACAGTGAGTGCGCTTTATATGAAGTCTTTTTATGGTTTATTATTTCAATCATATGGACGAGTGTGTAGTGAAACAGATTGGACATGGTCATCTGAGCAAGTGACCATGCTTGATTGAGCAATTGGTTAAGTGGGCGCAAAGACGGGATCAGTTGTGGTGATGTGTGGGGTCGTGGATGTGATGTAACGTTGTATGTGTTTCTATGGTGTAAATGTGTGGACACGTGACCGTACAGTGTATTGAAGGGCCGGCTGTACAGCAATACAGGCATAATATGTGAGTATTTTTTGCAATGATTTGTCATTTCATTCATTGCTTTGATAATAGATTTTAATTGTTATTTAATTGTATAATAAATCAGACGACAAGTGATTTGATTATATGCTTGTATACAATGGGCTTAAATGTGAGTTCACTAAACAATTTGAAGCAAAACCAATACTTGTCTAAATTGG